AGCATCCATTTACTATAGACCGCTCAAGTCCGCGACACAGCAAAGAACCAACCTATGGATCTCTCATATTCACGATCTTTACCCCAAAGAACAAAAGCTGTACGGAGGAGACTTTAGTCTCCACCACCCTATGTGGGGATACAACCATGAATCTCCGGGGGCGAAAGACTTAGTGGGCGAGATGCATACCTTCCGCTTAAACCTGGTCAACAAGAAAGGAGTCAAAACAAGACTAGGAGGTTCCGGGCAGTCGGATAACACACCCGACCTCACTTGGACCACGAACCCATACATTCAACACCACAAGTGGAAATGCCTACTGGATACGTGGGGTAGCGACCACTTCCCCATCCTCTTCGAGTTCTCGCCAACGAGACGGGTAAAGGACAAGGTTAAAAAACGCACAGCGAACATTGTACACTGGGACAAATTTAGGGAAGCCCTTAACAGCGAGGAACTTGAAGACGCTGACTTTGAATCGCGCCTCAACAGCGCCCTGCGGACTGCAACCATCAAAAAGGACATCGGTGAAGATACTCCAACACCCGATCTCCACCTTCTCAAGCTGTGGGCCAACCCTGCTGGAAATGGCAGGCCTTTTCCAATTGAAATGCATAGCCAAAACCTATGAGCATGAATGTGCGATTGGCGCCAATGAGAAAATCCGATGTTTTGCACATTGGTGCAATTGGAAATGCTGCAGAGAAGCCGCGGCACGGGGGAAGGCACAAGAATAGGTTGAGGGAAAGTCAACTTTAGGGGGCAAGCGCCATGATGCCAATTGTTTCAATGTGCACGACACTCAGTTTGCTCATTGCCGTTCATTGCAGCCAGTAGCGCTACGTGGCAGAGCCATTGCGCGGGGGATAGCAATGAGCCATGCACTGCAGAGACGCGAACTCGGTGCAGTATGGCAGTGACAGTGCTCAATTGCCAAATTAACACACCCTAGTAAAACTTTTTTATGGGACCCATAGAGATTTTAAGGGATCAATAGGATTTTATCGTACCTATGGGCATTTCTACTCGGCCGATAAAAAGTTATATCGTACCAATACAGACTTCTATTGTACCATTAGCAACTTCTATTGGACAAGTAGAAACTTCTATGGGAACAACACGAATGTCTTCTGGTTCAATACAAGTGCCTACTGGTCCTTCTATAGGAGCAATAACAAGTTGTACTGGTTAAACTGAAAGCTTTATTGGTCAAATAAAATGAATTTCAGATGGAGAACTTTTAATGGTCTACTGGGAATTTTTATTGGACCATTTGAGGTGAGGATCACACCGAACATGAAATCGATTAAGTGGGCATCTATCAGGTTAAGCAGTATGTTTAGTGGAGAAATGTTTTGAGCACAGGAAAATACTTTTACCGCAAACATGGCCGGTGGCAGGCACGCAGCCAGGATTTTGATTTGCCCATGACAAAATGCTGTATGAGGGAGAGAGGGGAGAGGAGGTCCCACCAAATGGAAGGTTTGGGGGGGGGGGGGGGGAGGAAGGGCAGGCCCCATGGGTCCCCCCCCCCCCCCCCCCTTCCCCCTGCAGATACGTACCTGCCCGATGGGTTCCTATCTGCCAAACAAACCTTTTCTTTTTAGCTATATAACTTGGGTTGGGCCATATAGACACTAATTAAAACATTCAGTTAATAAAGTGAAAATGAACATCTTTTTGTCATGTGTTTTAGAATTTCCTGATTACTTACGTATAGTCCTCTTTCGTATTATAAAACATGCGGCTGCCAGTGGAGCATAAAAAAAAAGACTATGGAGAACGTGGAGAACATAATAGCGCTTCACGACAGGGACGAAGGGTAGGAACGAGACAACACAATGCGCTATTGTGTTGTCTCGTTCCTACCCTTCGTCCCTGTCGTGAAGCGCTATTATGTTCTCCAAGTTTCAGTACCAACTCGCCCAAGAATCCGCATTATGGAGAACGGGAACATTGTGTGGGCATATAGTACGCACAAGATTTATGAATAATTATATATAGGCAAACCACGAAATTCAGGTATCATCGCCCTGCTGGAAATGGCAGGCCTGTTCCATTTGAAATGCATAGCCAAAGCCTATGAGCATGAATGTGCAATTGGCGCCGATGAAAAAATCCGATGTTTTGCACATTGGTGCAACTGGAAATTCTGCAGAGAAGCCGCAGCACGGGGGAAGGCCAACGAATCGGTTGAGGGAAAGTCAACTTTAGGGGGCAAGCGCCATGATGCCAATTGTGTCAATGTGCACGACACTCAGTTTGCTCATTACCGCTCATTGCAGCCAGTGGCGCTATGTGGCAGAGACATTGTACGGGAGATAGCCAAGAGCCATGCACTGCAGAGAAGTGAACTCGGTGCAGTATGGCAGTGACAATGCTCAATCGCCAAATTAGCACACCCTTGCAAAAATTTTCTATGGGACCGATAGAGATTTTTATGCGATCAATAGGATTTCATCGTACCGATGGGCATTTCTACTGGGCCGATAACAAGTTATATCGTACCAATACAGACTTCTCTTGTACCATTAGGAACTTCTGTGGGACAAGCAGGAACTTCTATGGGACAAGTAGAAACTTCTATGGGAACAACACGAATGTTTTCTGGTCCGGAATACAAGTGCCTATTGGTCTTTCAATAGGATCAATAACAAGTTGTACTGGTTAAACTGAAAGCTTCATTGGTGAAATGGAATGCATTTCGGATCGAGAACTTTTAATGGTCGACTGGGAATACAGAACATAAAATCTATTAAGTGGGCATCTATCAGGTTAAACAGTATGCTTAGTGGAGAAATTAGAGTTGTTATATACTAAAGTTTTATGTTTTGAGCACAGGAAAATAATTTTTGCCGCAAATATACCCGATGACAGGCACGCAGCCAGGATTTTGATTCGCCCATGACAAAATACTGTATGAGGGGGACGGGGGAAAGGAGGCCCCACCAAATGAAAGGTTTGGGAGGAGGGAGGGGGGGCCCCATGGTGCCCCCCCCCCCCCCCCCCCCCCCGTGCAGATACGTGCGTGCCCGATGGGTTCCTCTCTGTCAAATAAACATTTTTTTTAGCTATATAACTTGGGTTGGGCCATGTAGACACTAATTAAATAAAACATTCAGTTAATAAAGTGAATATAAACTCTTTTTTGTCACGTGTTTTAGAATTTCCTGATTACGTACTGTCCTCCTTCGTATTATAAAACATGCGGCTGCCAGTAAAACATAAAGAAAAGACTATGGGGAACGGGAACATTGTGTGTGCACATAGTATGCACAAGATTCATGAATAATTATATATGGGCAAGCCACGAAATTCAGGTATCATCGGAACTCTGCAGTTTTAGCTGTATTCTGTCCTTTTGTTTTCCAGGATGTTTCAGTAACAGTAATAGCGTAAACGATTGCACCAACTGGATTATGTATTCACATTAGACTTTGCTCCGTTTTATTCAGTTTTACCTGGTTTCGGAGTGGAACGTTCTCGTTTTTGTATAAATTTCGCTCCAGAACCGAGCAAATCAGAGTAAAACCGGGTCAAAAACAGAATAACACTGACTCAAAAATCCTATTATCATCTTTCACGATTGATCCAAAGCTCTCAGACTTCCGACGTCGGGACTTTAAAACTTTGGCGGAGTTGGCGAAAAAGTGCGATACTTCAGGCTTCCATTTTGCCATGTGAACGTATCCTGTTTGAGCCCTAGCAGAGGCTACGCGCTCGTTCTGGGGCGGCAGATCACGTGCACATTCTATCGTGGGCATGCTTTTTATTAACAGAAAAGAAAAGCCGGTAGTGCCGAATAACATCCAATAATTATTAACACCATAGAAGTCATTAAAAAAAGCACATAAAATGCGCGCACACACACACACACACGAAATAAGGATGACCTTCCCGAAATGATGATTGCACCTTGTTTCACGCACAGTAAGTGTCAGGCAGCGCTTTCCACTTTGTAGTTGAGCAAGGAAGTTCCTTTTTGAAAGGCATTTTACGCGCTTGTTGGCAGTTTGGGCCTTTAGTTTGGCTTCTGGCTTCCCAATGTTGTAGTTTTCCTTGATGCCGGGAAGAGTGTACACTCCAGCAATGAAGTTTTCGAGATTCAGAAGCCCTTCATTTTGCGTCCAATTAAAATGAAGGCCAGCCGAAACAGGGTACGTCAGACTCGTTACATTCGTCTTTGGCAGTAGCCTTTTCGGAAACTTGGACAGGAAATCGGTCTTCAAATCTCCCGTCACTTTCACAATTTTATCACTTGTGTCTTCACTAACTGGCCCAGTACTGTGACCGCTTCTGGTTTCATTGGTACTACTTAGTTCACGGGGAGTTTTTGTCTCGCCGTGTTCCGAGACAACCTAGCTTACAGAAACTGCTGTCGGCGACGTCGGTTCTGGTCCCTGGCCTGTTGTAGCATTTTTCAGGACACAACTTCGTCTCAGGACTGTTGTCCTTGGCAAGCTGGGTATACTTAGTGGCTCCAAGTATATTTTTTTGTTTGGGTTCATGGTCGCACAGCGCGACACCCTACGTGTCTCAAATCCAAATTTTAAAATTCGCACCGACGTCGTCCCGCAGCAAATGCAATTTTCTAATTAAAATGACAAATAAAAATTACTCCGTTATAAGTTTAATATATATTCAGTATTTACATTTGACAATTAAGTAATACTATAATTTTTAGAAACGTTTATTATTTTCTTAAGTGCATCAGTCACACTTGCGGGCTTGCGGGTTACACCACGTGACAATATAAAGTGAGCTGGAGTCAATAGAGTGAACAGTGGGGTCACCCGCATGCATAGCCCGCATGACATATAAAACCAAAATAAGTTTTCAAAGTGCAATTTATGCAATTTTTTTGCTAAATTAAGGTCAATAAGTAAATTTTATAAGTATTTGTTTACTTCATCAAACAAAAACAAGAGTTAAGATACGAAGTATTATAGTCACGTGATACATCCCCTGCGTCAGGAAGTGGCCCGACGTGATAAACCGAACGGTCCGGCCGGAGGACAAGGAAGCGTGGAAGAAGAACCGAAGCTGTCGAAGCAACGTTCGCGGGAAGTCTAACCGCTTGAAGCACGTTGCAGAGTCGAGACCAGTTGAGCGGCCGGAATTTTACGAACGATTATGCAAGCGTACGTCTTGAGGACGACCATGAGCCACATATCATCTCAAATTTCTGCCCGTCAAGCCTTGTGACGAAACGGAATCGGACTTCTTCAAGGCGCGGATCCTAAAGTTGTTTGGTAAGTTCTAGTCTCCACACGCGTTGTGCCCAGTCTAGTGACCATCTCCTTCTTTAAGCACAATATGTGGGAGTAACTCTCGGCGCCGGTTGTTTCAGGATCGCAGAGTGACGCGGAAACCCAGTGACAGTAAGCGGGTGCTAGTACCTCCGACGAGATGAGTGACTGCCCGGGAGGGCTGGAGGAAGCTTGTGTGAGACAGGTAATTGTAATTTCATTTTCGCGCTTGCGAAGCAATTAATAAGACGTATTTTAAATTTGAGATTTTCTTTAGTTATGCCGTCACAAGTACAAGGAATTTCATTGATAGGGGTGCCGTGTGTTTGTTTTCATATGCCCAGAAACTAGGTAAAGGTTATGTGTTTTAACCATTTCGTCGTTTACTCTGAGACTGGGGGGTTTTTGAAGAGCAGAAGTAACAGAAAAAACATACAGGTCTCAAGACCTGTCTGTTTTTTCTGTTACTTCTGCTCTTCAAAAACCCCCCAGTCTCAGGGTAAACGACGAAATGGTTGACTTCCACCAGCTAGCCTGTACTTTGACTCTTTTCTCGTTAATGTGTTCTAACATTTTTTCTGTGCTGATAGGCTTAAGGTTAGAATGAATTATATCTGTCAAGGCGTGGCGCAGTCTGTGTCTATTTGGAGAAGAGGTATCTGTGTGCATGCGTGCGTGCATGTTTGTTTGTTTGTTAGTTCGTTGGGGTAGAGAGAGGAGATGAAGAAGAGGAGGAGGGTGAGGGATCACGTCGAATCATTCAAATTGTTAACTCCGACAGTAATGAGGTAAGAAGGATACCTGCTAGTTACACCGGTTCGGTTTTGTGCCAAACTCAAATTGCGTTTTGCCGCGTAAATATTGCTACAATTTTTTTTTCATCAACAAAATTAATTTTGAGGCATGCCATTGACAAATAGGACCCCTGTTTTCAATCCCAGTCCAGGTTATTCGCGACTCCAGCGAACTATAGATGGCGCGCTGCTCAGGCAAAATTGGGACGAAAGAAGGTCGTTTTCGTTGTTCAGTATGCGGACCATCACAAATTCCTGCACTGCAGCATAAAATCGGTGTTACATTTGAATGCAAAGCGATTTTTCGACCCTAGAAACGTTCGTCTACTCAGTGCGTAGGAAGGACCCGGTGGAATCATTAAAATAATTACTGGAAACAATGTTTGTTTCTATGCTGCCTACGAGAACCAAGCAGCGATAGCAGACGACAGAGTCGGGACAACCTCCTCTCCTGAGCTTCTCGGCGCTGCCGCTACGCGGCGTCGATTTCGCTGGAGTCACGAATATTGCGCTGGCAAATTTCCTGTACATAGTGCTGCTTCAAAGATGAACTGAAGTTTATGTCTTTATGTGTGCATTGGCAATGGCATGTGGCTCAACAAGACTTCACACACGAAAGTTCTCAAATAGAAGAGGGAATCAATGTTCATCCGGTAAGGTTTGGTAATTATCTCCGCCACAGATGGCCTCCTTGGCGAATTGTAACCGGCAGACCTTCAAACCGCACAAAGGCTAAGCAAAGCCACAACTGGATGCAGCAAGACTAAAAGCTTTATAATATACTGTAAGGACTATGTCTTTATAATAAGCCTTTTATAGCAAAACATACTGATCTGAAAAGCGTTGTTTGTGGTTATTTTAAAGTGGTATACGGAAACTTTGTCGTATTGTATTAATTCTGGTTCACTGCACAGTTGAAAGAATTGTCTTCGTTTGCTGCCAGAGAAATATAGCTTGCGATGAACTAAATCAAAGTTATGACTGCTGGTGTCATGTACATATTCAGAACTTTTTTTTATTAAAATAATTGTAATCAAGTGTTTTTATGGGTTTTAGCACTGTGATTAAGATACGTCAATGTGTTTTCTAAGAAAGACTACTAATTTGCAGTTTGTATCTTCTCCTAAAATATTTTTTAGATCTGAGCATGTATTCATACCTGAATATGTGCCAGGCATTCCCCAGTATGTGTATAATTGTTTACTAGGCCTGTAAGCTTCCGCACTACATCATTGCCGTTATGTTAACGCTTCCCAGCTATTATTCGAGAGAGATAAGTGTTTCTCACGATCAATTAGGTTGAGATTGTTTAGCGTTAATGCTTTTGAGTCCCCCATTCTTAATTCCTGACAGAGCGCTTCAATGTCGGTTTATTTTTGGTTTGCCGCTATTTATCACCACAAGCAAAAACATCACGCCACTGGGATTAACCCGAAGCTCACCTCATGATTAACGACGCTGCTGTCCACTGTCTTAAGGTGGGCCTACGTTCATGGGTACTTGTCTAGTGGTTCTGGAGTTGATGTTGCTGAGATAACCGAGACGCCGATTTCTACGATGGCCTCTGTCAGCATCATGGTCAATTACAGCTGGCCCAAACCAGGCCAATCAACGTGCTGGCCTGAACCAGGCCAATCAACGTGCTGGCCCGAGCCCGGCCCGGGCCCACAGTCAAAAGTCCGAGCCCATCCCAGGCCTGGGCTTTCGGGTAAGCCCAAGCCCGTGCTCAGTGGTATAATCTTTAATCCAATCGCCATATTGAGATAAAGACGTCAAAATTCCTCAGTTTAAATGTCGGAAGTGCCTCAATAAGAGCAGGTATAAATATTAGTAGCAAATTTAATGATAAAAAAACTGCGCCGACTTTACTCAACAAGATTAACAGTTTAATCAAGCGTTTCGTCTCCCATGCGGGGAACATCATCAGTGAAACCTTCAAGCAGGAATGAGCGAAAAAACTTCAACAATCTTATTTAAGCAAGTCCGCATAAACATCGGGGGAGGGGGCCGCGGTTGGAGTTGCAAGCTGATGAGTCACTTCAGATGAACCATGATTCCACCAACCTTCGTGGACCCCACCTTTGTTCACACGCCAGAGTGGACGCATTCTCAAAGTCGAAACTGTGACCCGTATTCCAACAATGGTCTACGAGTTCCGTCTTCGCTGTGTTTGTTTAGGCGAGTGCAGCGCTTCCAGCCTGTCTCCCCAATGTAGGATGTGTCACAGTCTAGACAGTTCCCTTTATACACAACACCGCACTGGGACTCTGGGGGGGTGTAATCTTTAGGTTTAGAAATGAAGTCACATAGTTTATGGTGGGGTTTGAAAGCTGCGCGGATATTCAAAGGGGCGAGGGCCCTGCGAATGGACTCAAAAGCACCTCTCAAATAGGGTATTGTTGCCTGCCCTGTCCTAAGTTGTCCATTATCCTGACTTCTTTGTCCCATCTGTTTGTGCGTGTTATCAATAAAACGTTTCGGATAATTCCGCTTCATCAGCAGGTCAACAATAACAGCATCCTCAGAAGCGCGCAAGCCGCCTCGGTGGCTCCGAGGCGAGAGCGCTGGCCTACGGATCCCCATGTGGCAGAGGCTTATTGCGGAGCAGGCGCCGTGTAACCGAGCTTTCAGTTGCACGTCAAAAGATCCCCAGGTAGTCCAAATTAATCCTCAGTCCTCCGCTGGGGCGTGCCAGATGCCCGTCGTTGGTTTAGCACGTAAATCCCCCAAATTTGACTTTTTTCTCAGAAGCGCGCAATTGAGGATTAGAAGAAATGCGTTCGGACCGGTGTAATAGGTTTTTTACGACAGCCCTTTTATGTTCGACGGAATGATGCGAGTTAAAGCTTAAGAGGTTGCCTGTATCACAGCTTTGCGGTACACTGTTGTATATAAGGGACCGGTACTATTTCGGAACACATTAACATACAGAAAAGGCTTTGCACCGTTCTGTTCAACTTCATGTGTGAATTGGATTGATGATTCAATGCTGTTTAAAGCTAAATGAAAGTCACGAAAGGGACATGGCAAAGGCCACGCATGCGACAAGAGCGAAGACGGAACTCGTAGACCATTGTTGGAATACGGGACACAGTTTCGACTTTTGCGAATGCGTCCACTCTGGCGCTTGAACAAAGGTGGGGTCCAAGCAGGTTCGTAGAATCATGGTTCATCCGAAATGACTCATCAGCTTGTAACTCCAGCTGCGGCCCCCTCCTCAATGTGTATGCGGACTTGCTTAAATAGGACTGTTGAAGTTTCTTTCGCTCATTCCTGCTTCAAGGTTTCACCGACGATGTTTCCCACATGGGAGACGAAACGTTTGATTAAATTGTTAATCTTCTTGAGTAAGTCGGTGCAGTTTTTTTATCATTATGATTCCCGGCTGTTGGAATATTTTTGCAGCACATTTAATGAAGAAATTGATGCCGATAAACACCTGCCAAGGTTGACTAAAAATAAACAGAAACATACAATCAATAGTTATGATTGCACTAAGCGGTTGCTATGTGGATGTTTTTTTATGTTCGACAGCTCAGCAAAGTCTGTGGATCTGGTTATGCTTCCTGTACGAGACAGATCACGAAGCGGTTGCTGACTGACCAGTTGGGGCGAAAATTTTTGTGGGAAGGACGCAAGAGAAAGTTGACATTCAGGAACCTTCACCTTGCTGAGTGCATCATAAGTAAGTAATCTCTGGAACAGTAGTGCAGATCGCTTCACATGGAACCAGATTTATGGAATTGTTGGTGTCATACTTCTGTTGCTTTCTTTTATCAGATGCAGTGCAGAGCTGCCATAAATGTGAAGACTTCAAGGTAGAAACCATGGTCACGGATTAACTTCGCCACGCACCTGCCTGACATCAGTCATCTCAAATGGTAAGCTGGTCTTATTAAGCTGATGTTAGCACAAAAATCAAACTTTTCTAGAACAGTAAGTATGGTGTGCAATTTCTTCAAAGCATAATTTCTATATGAGAGTATTTGAATGCTTTAAATACACCTTTTTTGGTTTAATTTGGGAGCAAATACTACAGGTGTGAACAGTATTGAATAATTTTAAATAAAAAAAATTTTGTTTGGAGTGTTTCTCTAAGAGGAAAAATTTCATTATGTAATAGTACCTTATTATGGATTAAAGAGAATGCATAGACAACGAATTTTAAGAACACTGATATTTGATGTAAATCTAACAAACAAAAGTTGGCAATACAGTACACACATCCAGCATGAATGTGCTTTAAAAACAAGGCATAAAATACTTGATTTATTTACATCAGTTCCAATTCTTGCATATTTGAGTCACTTCACTTTGAACTTCACTGTTTTATTAGTTTTGTTTCATAGAATGGTAAACCACTGCTCATATATCTTTAACGTAACATTTTTTCGTTGCTTTTCAGGAACATTCTGCACCACAGGAGATAGAGATGTGAACTGCCTTAAGTGGGCCTTGAATGTGCTGAGCTTTTTATTATGTTTATCAGACATTTTTTTTAAGCAAAGTATCCTGCATTGTTCAGTAAGTATACTTTATTTTGAAAACCTCATGCTGTCTATGCAGCATTGTTCAAAAATTATACTTTATTTTAAAAGCATCAAGCACTGCTCGTCTGTCTAACAGTAACAATAAAGAGTTAATGGTGATTTGTTTGGCACTGCAACTTTTTCTACAGAACGGATCTGCATGCCTGACAGGCTGGGCAGGAATTTAGTGCGCTACTCACGTTCAGAGTTACGCTGCAAGACTGCAGCGGCATCTTTTGCCATGCAGTCGGTGCTACAGCTCTCATAAAATTCTGGTGTCCTCGTCACTAGAGCATATGACTACTGAAGCCTTAGACTTCAGTAGTCAATTCCTCAGGGCCGTTCGTCATAGCTTATGACAATGTTTGTGTCCCGTATTTCAGTTCTCTCGCATGTGGCGAGGTCCACCTCACTAAAACGAGTCAGCATCAGTAGTGTCGCCTTCCTTGTCAGTGTCGTCTGTACTGATCCTGTGGTAAAGCTTCTGAGCTTGATGGTGAAAAAAAAACTTCAATATAAAGAATGTCTGCTGCGGGCCTGATTGCTACATTATACATCTGTAATGCGCCATTTGGGTGTACATTGAGAGCATGCACGGGCCATACAGCAAATCTGCCCTCTGAGCTCTTGTTTTGTAAAGAATTCGACTCTTATCCGTTTGAATTTTTCTGTAGGACAGTTTACACGCTATATGCTAGCATAAAATGAAGGCTGCTTAGGCACTTCCTTGCCCTCCTGGCATAGGGCTGGTCCCTATACCAGGAAAGGTAATATTTCTGACGTATGTACATGGTACATCCACAGGATCAGGCTGAACATCCTACAATGGTCCTGAATGTCCAGCTGCATCAACCAGATTGTGTTAGTGGTACGTTTTCTGGGAAACCATTTTGCACTGCACAGTAGATACTTTCAATGTTGGATGAATCGTAGCAGATATCCACTGGATATGTTAAATGTCCGAACAACACATCTTTCGGATGTTTAATAGACGGTTGCTGGTTGACTGGGTACCATCAAACCAATGTGCACCGGGGCACCTGTTGTCAATTACCGCTCATTGGTTTTCGCCCCCTAAACGCCATCAACCCAATGTGCACAGGGGTGCCTGTCGTCAATTGCCGCTTATTGGTTTTCGCCCCATAAATACCATCAATCCAATGTGCACAGGGGGGCCCGTTGCCAATAGCCGCTCATTAGTTTTTGCCCCATAAATACCATCAACCCAATGTGCACAGGAGCACCTGTTGCCAATTGCTGCTCATTGGTTTTTGCCCCATAAATACCCTCAATGCAATGTGCACTGGGGTACCTGTTGCCGATTGCTGCTCATTGGTTTTTGTTTCATAAATGCAATCAGCCCAATGTGAATTCCCTAAAGGATTACCAATTCAGCCCAATGTGAATTCCCTAAAGGATTACCAATTGGTGCACATAGGTTTTTGTTTCATAAATGCATATTGCTCAATGTGTCTGGACCTACAGTTGCACATTGGTTCAATGTGAATTTTGGCCTCATTTCACATCGTCCATTTCCAGCAGGGAAGCGACTGCAAAAGATACAAAAGTACCGTAAAGGGCCGAAAAGCACCGAAGCCAGACTCAACATCACCAGGGCTACGGTGGAAGCGAAGGTTTACGCACAAAAACTCGACGAACACCGCTGGCCCGACTACAGCGCATCGCTCTCCGAAGAAACGTCGATATCGAAACTATGGGCCACGAATCGCGCGCTCTTGGAAAGAAGAAATGCAACAAGGCCAGGATTGGGAGACATTTGCTTTAGTTCCCCGAGGAACCCCCAGATTGGGAGGGGAGGGGAGGGGGGGGGGGGGGGGGGGGCGACGAGCGGACTACAAGCGAAGCAGCGGGGAGCGGGATCGGGCGCGCTGAGCCGATGAGCGCTAAGCACCCTTCGTCCTCCCCATCCTTCTCCCTTCTCCCCTCGAAGTGAGAGAGAATTTTGCGTGTGGGGTGGGCGGCGGTCAACTGGGTCGGCTGGTCTTGCGGTCCAGCCGTCGGGCGCAGGAGCACATCGCTTCAAAAAGGAGATGTTCTATAGCACCCAGTCGCTTACTGCTTGTGGCAAAATTTTTTTTAATTTTTTAAGTGACGCTGAGAAAGAGTATTAGTTTCATTTTATACAGATCTGTCAGCTCTGACAAACTTATATTTTCCTCATTTAAAGGCAAATAATACGTGCCTAACAACACAAAGCTTCAAACAAATCATAACAACCTTTGGAGTGTATCGGTAGATCTGAAGATCAAGATGCGGTATGGTTGTTTCCAAATATATGTGTATATGCTTACGCATGTAACCTGGATTTGCAACTAAAACACAAGACCTTCTCACTCAGATTTTCAGGGGCCGCACTTGAAATATCCGACTCCGAAAGCTTTGCAAACTAAGCTGGTGTTTTGTATAAAGAACACTAGTAACGTCGGTGCTATTATACTGTATAAAGAGGCCAATGAATAACGTTCGTGTTAGAGGGGTACTGAAGATTCTATTGAACGTGGATTCATCGGATAACTTAGTAATCGCTTAACGCTGTTTTATTCATGCTCAGGTTAGGCAATTTATAAACGCCCCTACTGGAAAAAACCATTTGAAATTCAAACGGGTGGCAAACTGGTCGCCCGTTTGAATCAAACTTGTCGATCCGTTTGGATCAAACGTGATTATGGGATACGGGTACCCGCTTGGAAACGGTACCCGTTCGAAACGGTACCCGTTTGATACAGGTGCCCGTTTGATACGGGTACCGTATGGTACGAGTACCCGTTCGAAATGGCACGTGACCACACGTTTGAACGTGCCATTCGAATTGGAAAATTATGCGCTAGCCCTAAATGGGTATCGTCTGGGAGGTTGGTCATTTTAAACATATTTAAGACGTCCCGAAACTCATACACGTATTTATAACATGGAGAAAACACGTAGAACAAATGCACTCGCGTAGGTGCTTGTAAGTGGACAGGAAAACCGACACAAAAGATTGTTTTGAATTCTCCTCGAAGTTTATTACCTCTTCTGTAGACAAGTACAAACGTGCAAGCGATCTGTGAACACTATACTGGTAGACTTTCGGGGAAATTATTCTCCTGGCTGCCGCGCGAATAGGCGCTGCATAATTCTTTAGATAATCTAGAAGAGCACGCGTAGAAGAACGGTCAATCTTTGCCAACACGTAGGTTGCAGTGCACTTACCATAACAATAGCGGACTTGAAAGATGTAATCCGTGATATTTGTCGACACAGTCAAAGCAGGACCACACAAACACAAACGAGAGGGAACGGCTCCTTGGAAGTTTCAACACGATGCGGCGCACAAGCTGTCATTTGCCGAACCCAACCAAACCGCGAGAATTTGCGACTTCTTTGAAGAATCGCTCGTTGCCGACATACACGTGGTCTGGATGGATGGATGGATGTTACTGGCTATATTATACCCTTTGTAGCGGGTGGTAGCTTGCGCCACCTAGCCTAAGTCTAAGAAAGACAAACATTTGGTTTGATTTCCCGCGCCCTTCTAAGTCAATTTTCTACCCCCTAACTATCACCAGGTAGTGTGGGATATCACCAGGATGACCTTTGGGGGATCGGGCAAAAAAACTAAAAACATCACCCCCCGCCTCTTCCCCCCGGCGAGGGAGTCGCCAATTTTCCTCTGGTCAGACCTTGTCGGCGTTACCCCCGCACCGGACCCACTGAGAGACAGGGTTGAGACTTTGGGCCGGAGCCACGCGGGAGGGAGTCCCAATTTTCCTCTGTCCCGCCTGTCCCCAGCTGTGCTAGTTAGTTCTGCATCATTCAATTTTCCCTAGATAATTTCCACCAATCTTCTAATCGCCTCTTTGTGACTGCAATCCTCTTCTCCTCCGTCCCTCCATCGTCGCCAGCAAACCCCAGGGCCCCGGCCAGATCTGTTACCCCTTCAGGGAGTGCAGGACGAAGCCCCGTGCACTTTAATACCAAGTGCTCAAGTGTCTCACTCTCATTATGGCAAGCAGCACATAATGTGTCTATCTCCTGAAATTTAGCCCTATACGTCCTCGTCCTCAAAGCCCCCGTTCTCGCCTCGAACAGCAAAGAACTTCCTATTGAGTTGTCAAACACATTTTCCTTTCTTATGTCCTGCTTTCGTGACCTGTACATTGTTAGAGCTGATTTATCCTGCATTCTTTCTTCCCACATTTTCCTCTCTGCCTCTTTCACCCCTTTTTTCACTGAAGTAGTCTGTTCAGCCCCATCACCAGTGTGTAGGTATTTAAATGTAAGCTTTCGGGTTCGGTTTGTCCATTTTGTGTTTAAACTTTTCATGTACAAATATTTGAATACTTTCCGTGCCCACCGCGTATCATCCATTTCGGTCAACCTTTGTTCAAATTTCAACTTACTAACTGCCTCCCTGCTCTCAAAAGACGACCATCCCATGTCCCCCTGTACTCCCTCATTTGGTGTTTTTCCATGTGCTCCCAGTGCCAGCCTGCCTACGCTTCTTTGTCGAATTTCTAATCCTGATTGAACCTCTGATTTCATGCACAGCACTGCATTGCCAAAAGACAGCCCTGGCACCATCACTCCTTTCCATATACCTCTGACCACTTCATATCTATTATAGTTCCATAGCGCTTTGAGCTTCATAATTGATGAATTTCTTTTCCCTTTTCTAATTATATTCTCCTCATGTTCCTCTAGATATTTCGCTCCCTCATTGAGCCAGACTCCCAGATATTTGTATTTTCCTACTTGGTCTATTTCAATGTCCTGTATCCTCAGGGGTTCCCTCTTTTTGTCGTTAAACACCATTACTCCAGACTTTTCTCTACTAAAACGCATGCTTATTGTGTCCCCTTCCTCTCCACATATTCTAGCTAGTTCCTGTAACGTATCCTGGTTATCTGCCATAAGTACTATGTCATCGGCATACATCAGTCCTGGTATTACCTGTACTACATTTCTCCCTCCTTCCATATAACTCACATCAAAACCTAAGTTGCTCTGCTCTAATTTCTTTTCCATTTCCCTGAGATATATCATGAAAAGCAGAGGTGACAGTGGACAGCCCTGCCTGAGCCCTCTTTTTATCGCTGCGGGTTGTGTAGTTTCTGCCT